ACACACACACACACACACACACACACACACACACACACACACACACACACACACACACACACACACACACACACACACACACACACACCACCATATAATCTGATCTACAGATTCTTAGAGACTGCTGCACATCACCTCGCTGAATCATGTTACTGTTTGTCTGATGAGAGGTGTGGATGCTGGACTCAGTGATGCTACTGTCAGGTTGTGTTTGGTTGTAGTTTAGCCACATGCTGCACAATTGTTACCTTTAAAACAAGATCAGAGAAGCAACGCTGCTAATTTAAACCATAAAAAATCCAAATCCACGTTCGCATTAGAGAGCAGCCCTGGTTTTGCTCAAAACAGTTTTAACACGGGTCTCTATGGAGACCGACTTTCTTTCATGCTAATGCTCTTCATACTCCAACGCGCCCAAAACTTCCAATTTAATTTGAATGAATGAGTCTTCACTTTGGAATCAATGATTATTTCTCAGTAATACGACCACAGCAGCGATCTGATGTCATTTCCTCCTGTAGTTTTGTTTTCAGGGCTTTAGAAATGATTCAGTTCAACGATGACTGAAAGTCGAGCAGTTTTTCTTTGTTTGCTTGTTTTTTAAACTTTGACACAGAGTTTAAATGTCAAATAGCAGCAACATGGCTGACTAGCTGGGATAGCTTTGTGCAGTTTGAGTCTGATGGGAAAACCACTGCACTAATACTTTGTTTTTAGCATAGACAGATGGACTTTTGTGCATTTTGTGGGTGTTTTTAAACATTTTTTAGTTGAATTACATTATTTTCAGCGACTGGGCGATTACTAATTCTCAGGCGGTGAGGATTAGTAATCCCTCCTGTTTCCTGTGATCTTTGACCTTACTCTCATTTGTATTTTCTTTTTCTTTAGTGTTAACTTCGGACATTCAGTTGACTTTGAGATTGACTCTCAGATTGATCTTGGAATCAACCCCAAACTTTGTAAGTACATCATGTACCAGTTTGTTTGCCACCCCATCAGCAGGCACCGTTCCTGGGTTAGGTTTGTGTTTTGTTCCACATTCATCTTGGTAGTTTTTTCCATTTTTTGATGCTTTACGTTCTAGCTCCATTAATGTATTCAAAGCTTTCAGAATGTATCAGGACTGAACATAAAAACATACAATGATCACATAAAACTCAGTGGATTGTTAAGGTTTAGTAAAACAAAAAAAGGGCATAATGAGAGGTCAGAGGAGAATGGCGAGCCTGCTTTGAACTGACAGGGTTGCAGCAGCTGTTACAAGTTCTAACCACTTGTTCAACCAAGCTGTGCAGAAGAGCCTCTCTGAACCTGAAGCAGATGTGCTACAGCAGCAGAAGACCACACTGGATGCCTTCCTGTCAGCTAAGAACAGGAAACTGAGGGGACAGTTCATACAGGCTCACCTAAACTAGACAACAGAAGACTGGAGCCTCCATTTCTCCTGCAACATTCAGATGTCAGTGTCAGAATTTGCCATAAACCACATGGATCCATCCTGCCTTGCATCAGGGATTCAGGCTTGTGGTGCTGTTGCTGTAATGGCACATGTAAGTACCCACTGAGCATTGTTACCTGAGTGTTCCTGCTGACCGTGCCCATCACAGTGCAGCCATCTGCTGACGCCTGCTTCCAGAAGGAAAACACACCATGTCTCATCACAAAGCTGAAATAATCGCACACTGGTTTCTTAATAAACATGATGATGACTTCACTCTACGGCCTCCACGGTCACCTGGTCTCAGTCCTGAAGAGCACCTGTGGGATGTGGTGGGATGGGAGATTATCATCTCGGATGTGCAGTAACTGTCCGCATGGACCGAGTGAACGTTTCCAGTACCTTTTTGAAGGTGCTGGCAGTTCTGATGGTGAAAGGAGATCCAGTCTGACACGAGCAGGGTCTACTTTATAACATGTAAGATTATTTCCACTTAAACTAACATGTGTGCCTTTAGTATGGGAAGAAACCCATGAAGGCACAGCAGACGCATGCCCTGGTATCTTGGACGGCTACACCAAAACTAAAAATCTAGCAAAAGGCTGCCCCCTGGTGGTGAAAGTTTTAGTTATTTTTTTGAAGAGGTTGATTGTGTGAAGTACAAACTCAGTCTAACTGCGCCGCTGCACAAATATTGCAGGGATTTGTGTCGTTTGTGTTGCAGCTTGTCGGCCTTATGTTTGTTTTCCATTAATACTTTACATCTTTATTGT